AAGATGCACGCATATTTTAATTTTTTTTGTTCTCTCGGCAGAAAAGAAGTTCATAAGTAAAAAAGCCAAAAAAAAAAAAAGGAAAAAAAAAAAATGATACAAGATAAAACAATCTACAACATGCTTCATTGTAGTTCTAGTAGAAAAGGGTACCTTGGGGTTTACCATACATGACCTGCATGCAGGATTGCTAAAAAGTCTATTTTTTTTTAAATACCCAAAAAATGAATTGCACAGTTTTGTTTCAGCTCCTTGTAACGATGGATTCTTCAGTCCCGGAGGCGACTTTTCGGTCAGTCCCAGAGAAAAGCAGTGCGGTCTTTTCCTTTTTTCGAGGCTGTCAGGTTGTATTGCTCTCTTCTTCTTCTTCTCCTTCTTCTTCTTCTCCTTCTCTAACGCCATCCCGGAAACTGCTAATTCATTTAAGACTTTGAAGTTCTGGCTCAATAAGCAGTCCTAGCAGAGAGGAACGTCTTCCCCCCCTTTCCCCTATAAAAAGTCCATTGGTTTGTTTCACGATCCGTATTTTTATCTATATATATTTATAAATAAATATATATATATATATATATATGTACAAGTCACTGTAAAGACGTGAAGTTCGATGGGTGATCAAGAGGCTGAAAAGCTCTTCAGAAAAACAAAAAATAACATGAATTGTCTTCCTTGGGTGGCGTGGGTGCAACGTCTCGTGGTTGGTGGACACATTGTGGAGGAGAGTATGCAGTTGTTGTTGTTACATTGTTACTATGAATCTTTTTTGTTTTTTTTTTACCTGGAGGGTCTTTGTATATACGGGTGAGAGGGCATCAGATGAAGAAGTCAGATGTCGCTTTCCCTGGGTTGGACGGTTGCTGCGTGGACTCCCTGGCGCTGAAGCTCCTGCTGGCCAGTTTCTCATACTTGTCCTTGTACAGATCCCTCTCCTTGGCCAACCTGGAGACCTCTTGCTTGAGCTGCTCCACCTGGCTCTGCAGCTGGCATTTCTCTGTCTCTAGAATGTGCCTCTGCTGTACCCGCTTGTACCTGCAGGACTGGGCATAGCCCCGGTTCTTCAGGGTCCTTCTCTTCTGCTTGAGGCGGATTACCTCCTCTTTGCTGAAGCCCCTCAGCTGCCTGTTGAGTTCCCGCACAGACATGCTGACCAGCTGCTCGTCCGAGAACCTTTCCTCCAGCCTGAGGTGGTGGTTGTGGTGGTGATGGTGGTGGTGGACCTGGTGGTGGTGCCCAGAGGCTGCCATTTCCTCCCCTGGGTACTGCTGGCCCCTGAAGCCATCGTAGCTCTGGTGGTGATGATGGTGGTGATGGGGGTTGCCTATCAGTGCCTCCACGGCATCCTCTGGGGTGAGGTTGAGGGCTTCGGGGTTGATGTGATGCTGGTAGTTGGACATCCAGTAAAGATCCTCCAGCTGCGGCTTGTTGGCTGTGTTGGGGTTGTTGGGGTTCACGTTGGGCTGTGCCCCGGGGCTGGGGGCGCAGAAGCTGGGGGAAGACGGCACAGAGGAACAGGGGGTGCTGATCGGAGTAGAAGACAGGGATCCGGGTGGCAGGCGGTGGCAGAATCGGTCAGCTTCTGGGGGTTCCTTCTTCACCTCAAATTTCATCAGATCAAAGTCATTGACATACTCGATGGCAAGAGGGCTGTTGGGCAAGTCTGTACTCATAGCCAGATCAGAGGCCATCTCAGTCCATATAAGAGATGTCACTGTCACTACAGGGTCTACAATTTAGGAGCTCCACGCCCCCTTGCTGGTGGGTCTGCACACAGCAGCCTGCAGGAGGACGAGCTTGTTCCTTGTGAGATGTCACCAGCAGCAGCAGCAGCAGGGGGGTCCTGGGCTGTCGCTGCTCCTCAGACCCTCTCTGCGAGTCTTTCAGGAGTCCATGTAAGGGGTTTGCGAGCTGCAAGTGCCCAGGCTTCGGGGACTTTGCGGGAACCGAGTCCCCTCACGGCTTCCTATAGTTTGCAGTTGAGTTGCAAAGGAACTGAGTCCTCCTGGATGTGGCTGAGGGTCTCAGGCAGTTTCTGTTGAGGATACGAGGCAGTCCTTCTTAGTCTTCTTTTTCTGTGGAGAGTCCTCTTCCAGCAGATGGGGTGTCAGGGAGTTTGCAGCGAGCTTCTGCAGCAGCTGAGTCTTCTCGCAGTCTGTGCGGTGCATTGATCATAGGGTGCTTGCATGCTCTGCTCTCTCAGGACAGGCTCTGCTCTGTCTGTGCTCAGGATTGCCCTCCCTCCCTCTGCTAGTCTGCAGGCTTGTCAGCTGCACAGCCAAAGCCTCTATACTGAAGGGATCAAAGCTGCAACTCTGCCCTTTAACAAGGCAACGTGCCTGGCCACGCCTGGTTAGGTGTGGGGATCCCTTCCAGGGCCAATCACAGACCCCCATTGCCATTTTCATTTACATATCTCTGTAGCAACGCATGTGAGGGGCTGTCAATCTCCCGAGGGGGGACAGCTGGAAGGTAAAAAAAAAAAAAAGATGAACATGGGCCCTCTAGCGGTGGCAGGAGGGTACTGCGCCCGCACAGGTACAACAAGGTAAAAGGCAAAATGTCACTTTAAGTCACAGTACATGACACGACCCGGGTATGCCGAGTACACCGAACTCTGCTCATCTTCGTAGTATTACTTAGTATCATTTTGTAGCATTATGCTATTATTTTTTATTGATATTACAATATGAATCATTTTTTATTTTTAAAGACAAATTTTAGTACATAAAAAAATGAATTTAAATATTAATATTTATACTATATTATGTTAATATATATTATTCTTA